GTAAGTTTTAAGATATTTATCAATCACGATTTAGTATTAGGAGAATATTCGATTGTGAATGGTCAATTTCTTAAGTCTTACGCCTTAAAATCTCATTGTAGAAGACGCTTAACATGTCATCTACAATGGCAGTAGGATTAACGGATTAAAGCAGTACCTTAAGGAATTGACCAATCACATTCAAGCATTAAAAGAATACTCGACTGTGAATGGTCAATTTTTTGAATTACAGCTTTAATTCATTAATTCTACTGCCATTGTAGACGATGCTTTAGGGTCGTCCACAGTGGCCGTAGATTAAAATTGTAAGGCGTAAGATTCAAGAAATTGACCAATCGACTTTGATTGGTCAATTTCTTCTTAACGGATTAAAGCAGTAACTTAAGGAATAGAACAATCACATTCAAGCATTAAAAGAATACTCGACTGTGATTGGTCAATTTATTGATTAACAGCTTTAATTCATTAATTCTGCTGCCATTGTAGACGGTGCTTTAAGGTCGTCCTAAGTAGCCGTAGCATAAGGTTGTAAGGCGTAAGATTCAAGAAATTGACCAATCACAGTCAAATATTAAGAGAATACTCGACTGTGATTGGTCAGTTTCTTGAGTTTTACACCTTACAACCTTATGCTACGGCCATTGCAGACGAACCTTTAATCCCGATCTACAACAGATAATTTAAGCGCTAAGGCTTAAGTAATTGTCCAATCACAGTCGATCATTCTCTTCATAAGCCGCGTTCCGAAATTATTACCAGTGTACTGCAAATTCTATAGTGCACGTTACGTATATTATATATTTTCAATGTTGGCAGTAAACTGTCAGCAATTTCGGAACACGGCCATACTTGACTGTGATTGGTCAATTTCTTGAGTCTTACGCCTTACAACCTTATGCTACGGTCATTGTAGACGACTCTTGAAGCGTCTTCTACATTGAGATTTTATGGATACTTAAGGAGTAAGACTTAAGAAGTTGTCCAATTACAATCGAATATTCTGTTAATACTTGACTGTAATTGGTCAATTTCTTAAATCTTACGCCTTAAGTCTCCTTAAAATTTCATTGTAGACGACCCTTAATGTAGCGTCTATAATAAGTTTTTAAGGCGTAAAACTTAAGAAAGTGACCAATCACAGTATAGTATTAAGGGAATATTCGATTGTGTTTGGTGAATTTCTTAAGACAAACGCCATAATATCTCATCGTAGATGACGCTTAAGGGCAATTCTACGATGGCTGTAGCACAAGGTTGTAAGGCGAAAAACTCAAGAAATTGACCAATCACAGTCAAATATTAAGAGAATACTCGACTGTGATTGGTTAATTTCTATAGTTTTATGACTTAAATCCTTATGCTAAGGCCATGCAGACGACCCTTTAATCCCGATTTACCACAGATAATTTAAGCACTAAGCCTTAAGAAATTGTCCAATCACAGCCGAGCATGTCTTCATAAGCCGCGTTACAAAATTATTATCAGTTTACTGCAAATTCTATAGTGCGCGTTACGTATATTATATATTTTCAGTGTGGCAGTAAACTGGCAACAATTTTGGAACACGGCCATACTTGACTGTGGTTGGTCAGTTTCTTGAGTCTTACGTCTTACAACCTTATGCTACAGCCATTGTAGACGACTCTTGAAGCGTCGTCTACACTGAGATTTTAAGGATACTTAAGGCGTAAGACTTAAGATTTTTACAATTGTCATGCGCACGATCTTTTTCGATCAGCTGATTGTCAATCAGCTGATTGTGACGTATGGGCGCGCATGCCGGTATGTTGCTTAGATTTCGTCGACGGTTGACAATGTTATTGTCAACGAGCATGATAAGCATTTCTTAGGCGTTGAAAAAATAAGAGATAATTCGATCGGTTGAGTTTTTGTTGAAAATAGATATTTCGAGAAGTTTCTCGACGCCCGTTAATTTTGAATTTTCGGGTTTTAATATAGAAAAATGTGGATTTTGGCTATGCGATTTTTAACAATGATTATGAAATTTGAACAGTAATATATACGATTTTAGGATCCCCTTAACACTTGTTAAGGGGATCCTAAAATCTAATGTAGGAGTATAACATCGCTTAATTTGTTGTTCGATCATTAAAAAAAAAACGTTGTTCCACGTCCTGCTCCTCCTGTAATAAACAATCGTAAAGGTGCAATAATTTGACCTTGAATATCTTGTTTAATATGATTAGTAATTGTATTAAATAAATTAGATTATTTTATATTCATATTTCTAACATTTTGCACGAATTCTTTTGCAGAAATAACGCGATCTGCTTCATTGGATCGTGTAAATCCAAGTCGGTATTATTATTATATTTATCCATTATATAATGTACACGATCTTCTTTTTCTCCCATAGACTGCGTATTTGTGTTGTCATCATCAAATGCAATAATTTGAGCTATAACTTCTTGTAATTCTCATTCTATAAATTGGAATTGCTCAATATTTTACCCCTTACGTAGAGGTTTTAATAGAGATTACATAGAAGTTTTAATTGATGACGCTTTGCATTAAATGCTTGTTCTGCTGATTAATATCCCTGAAGTAATTCTTTTTCATTTCTGAAATGAACATGAACTACTAAATAACTTTAAAAGTATGTAATGTTACGTGACTATTAATTTGAGTATAATATTGTGTTTTTAACACTGCAGGCCGTGTACGTTGTTTCATTCTCGTACCATCTTGTGAACGGATACTTAGTTTATAAATTATATCATTTTCTTCATTATAAACTTCTACATCTCCATCTTCTTCATAATTATTCAATTGTGATATATATTCATACGTAACAACACATTGAGCTAAACTGAGATCGTCCGAATTTTCCGGACGTAAACAATAGCGATTAAATATATTTGCATATAAGTTATTAATGTAGCCATCGCTGATAAAAATAATATCGAGTAGAGATAGCACAGCCCTCTCTCGTGAATTGACTGACACTAACGGGGCGCGAGTACGAGTCCATTCGGGGCCCTTGAACGGGCCCATTGTTCCTTTGTCTTCTTGTCGCGAATATCAGACAAAGATTTCAAGCAATTAGAAATCCTGAGAAAAAACCGTGTAACAGTACCGTGCAATAAAGTACTTCTAATATAATTATCGGTGTGTCTCTTATTCTCAAGATAGTCTTATATATATATGTTACATTAAGTGGTGATCGTGACAGAACTGGAAAAGCATTTGTGACATATTCTTGAGAGAAATAAAAGGTGACACGATGGATAAGATGAAAAGATCCCGTATTATTACACGTGCGGCATTTACCCGCAATCTAGGCTCATTGAATACTGAGTTGGTAAGTGAAAGTCCGAACATTGCGAAATTACAAGTATATTTCGAGATAGTAAAGGAGAAAGCGGACCAGCTCGAGGAAATTGATCGCAAGATTTTTGAGGTTATGATCGATAACGATTATAGCGAAGAAGACCTCATGCAAGAATCTGATGCTGCGGATGAATACAGAACGAAATATCAGCGAGCGAAAATTGCAATAAGTAATGCGACTAATCCGATTCAAGCAATGTTTTTTTCACAGGACGCGGGACAAGTAGCACATGTTCCTAGTGACAATGCGCGTACGTTCAAACTGCCAAAAATACAATTGCCAAAATTTAGTGGAGATCTCAAAGAGTGGTTGCAATTTAGGAACTTGTTCAAACACATTCATGAGGATCCGGATATAACCAAAGAAGATAAATTTCAGTACCTGATACAAGCAATGGTGAAAGATTCCAAGGCGAGCATATTAGTCAACAGTTTTCCGCCGAAACGGCGAATTACGATAAGGCTATTACCAGCTTGAAATCACGTTTTTATAAAGAGGATCTACTTGTCGAGGTATACGTCCGAGAGATGCTCAAGTTAGTATTAACTCAGTCAATAAAAACAAGTGGTCATGTTCTCTTATCGAACATTTATGATAAACTCGAAACACAATTACGAGCTTTAGAGTCGCTAGGAGTCACAACAGATATGTGTGCTGCGATCCTTTGGTTGAATTGTCGTTACCAGAAAATCTCTTACATGTATGGCAGAGAAATACGAAAGCGATTAATTCTTCTACATCGAAGCAATGCCTAGATGAACTAATGTCATTTTTGCAGACGTTAGTAATGAGCGAAGAAAGAATCGCTATGGCAATAAGTGGTTTTGGATTAAACATTGAGGCTACAACTAATCAGGATAAATTCAAGAAGAAAGTGAAGAATGAACAGAAAGATATTGCTACTGCTGCGATTCTTCTCGCAACCAAACAAGACAAGACACTCTTGTATATTTTGTGATCTAGATCATGAAAGTGCATCGTTCGAAAAGGCTAAAAAGATGTCCTATGAAGATAGATGCAAAATCGTTAAAATTAAAAATGCTTGTTTTTATTGTGCAAAGGCGGGACACAGTCATAAATATTGCAGATATAAAGGCAAATGCGCATGGTGCGGTAAGAGGTATGTTTTGCTTTTGTATCGTAATACAAATGCATCAAATGCTTCTGTAAAAGCTAATCAAGAAGAAGAACTTTCCAAGATAAAAGAACAATCTGCGCTTGCTAATTTTTCACTTACCAGTGAAGTATTTTTACAGACGCTTTGTGTGAAATTGTTTAATCAAGGTAAGGAACAAATAGTCAGAGCTATTTTTGATAACGGTTCACATAGATCATATGTTCTTGACTATTATGCTGAGAAAATAGGATTTGAGGTCATTGGCGAATAGCATATGGTACATATGTTATTTGGAGATTCTTAAAGTCCATTACTAGAATACCGAGTTAGCATAAGCAACATCGGCGGATCTTATTCTTATATCCTTGTAGCATTAAGTCAGAGAAAAATATGCGAGAAAATTCATTCTATAAGCCGAGACTACAGGAAGTGCAACTAGAAGGAATACAACTCACCGATGTCGACACAAAAGATGAACCTATCGTTGTGTTAAGGGGGGGGTATGCTATTTAAAATTTTTTTTAAATTTTTTTAAATGAATGCGCAACATCTCAAGAATATTCAGTCAAAATTTCAAGTCGATCGGAGCAAAAGTAAAGAAGTTATGAACGCTTGAAGGACCGTTGTTCCGAGCCGTATTTCTCTACCCGCTCGACCGGTGTGCGGCGCGCTGACGTGGCACTCTATTGTATTCATTCCTAATCCCTAAATTCCTTTATTGCTGAAAGCATCTTTTCAGGTAGCCTTGTGAGCATTGAAAACATGGTATATACATCAGTTGCTCGCTGTATGTCGTGTTGAACGGTAGAAAGTGAGTCGAAAAATTTGACTGTTATCGTTCGAGTTCGTTGAATTTTCGGGCATTTTGAACTGTGTTTGTGTTTGAACTGTTACTGACTTGTGAGTGTATTTGTTATTATTAAAGATGCCTCGAAAAGTGACTAGAGATGATCGTAAATACGGCAAAAAGTATTTGAACCGAGCAAAAAAAATAATACCGCCACAAAAGCGTAAAAACGATGAAGTAACAGCTGGCAGCTCGTCGTCGAAAAAAATTAAAAATCGTCCCGCTATTGAAATAGAAGCTATAAAGTTCTGGAAGCCATGATGCCCATTTATGAGGACTTGAGCAGGGACGCACTGTTGCAGCGATGTCTTGGAGGTTTTACACAAAACAATAACGAAAGCCTCAATCAGCTAATATGGAAAATCTCTCCAAAGGCATACAGTGGAACCTCTACAACCGTACAAATTGCAGCTAATGTGGCTGCTTGCACTTTTAATGAAGGTTCTATTGCCCTGTTGGCCTTCATGGAAGAGATGCACATCGGTACAGGCCCTAGTTCTCATGAATGGGCGCGACAAGTTGACGATTTGCGAATTACTAGAGGAGGCGAGAAGGCGGCTCACGACAGTAAAGAAGGGAGAGTTTCGCGGAGACAAACACAAAAAGATGCTCTGGATCTTCTGGATGAAAGCGCCTTGCTGTATGGACCTGGTATCGACGATTCTGTGTGAGTATAAAAGAACTATCGACTTTTATTTCGGGATTTTTAGTGTGCAAAAGTTTAAAGTGTTTTTCTCGAACTTGCCTTTTCCGAAGTCCGTGATCACGATAACTCAAAATCTACTCGATCAATCGTTCTAAAACTTGGCACACTGCTTCGTAACAACATTTACCAGGTATTCCTGGGAGCTTTTTTTGATTTGTTAAAAATTGTTAATTTTACAAAAACAAATAACTCGATTTTTTGCACCAAAAATCAGAATTTTGGCTTCAAAGTGCCACTAAAAATTAAAAAATCAAAAAAAAAAATTCCCCCCAGCGTTACCTCGAAAAACATTTCCTTTAACGAATGCATTTTTATTTTTTGGTTTCAGATGATTCTACTACGAGTTATGATGATCACCGCCAAACCACTTTTTTTAGGAGCGCCTTCGGAAATTCGTTGTCACTCGCGTATTTTTCGATATTTTTCGATGAAAATTTAGCAAGCTACTCTTCAAATGTTGTATTATTACATGGAAATTGAATAAATAAAGTAACATTATCTGTTTCGCCAAAAAAAATTCGTAAAAACATGCCATTTTTCCATCGAAATTAGCATACCCCCCCCTTAATTCATGCGGATATCGCAGGAAAGTTATTAACAGGCAAACGAAAAGAGTTTAAATGTGGAGTCGTAGCACTAGAAACGTTACTCGGATGGACTTTAATTGGAAATGTGGACAACTCACCGCAGCAAAAGGAAGACGCAACACTCATGGTCGTATCTATGTTTACATGTCAGGAAAACATTGTCGACTTGTGGAAGCTGGATACGCTGGGTATTATGGATCCTAGCTTGAAAAAGACAGATGATGCACACTAAGCAAAAGTTAAAGAGAATTTTCAGCATACCATTAAGATGAATGAAGAAGGTCGATATGAAATATTTCTTCCTTCGAAGGAAGATTACTTACCACTGGTAGAACATAAAGGATCGGCTATAAAACGACTTGAGTCTACTACTAAAAGACTTAAGGCTTAAAATCTTTATGATACGTACCAACAAATTTTTGAAGAATAGTTGTCCAAAGGCATTATTGAAAAGGTTCCGGAGAATGAAGTAAACTACAATGGCTACTATCTACCTCATAGAAGCGTGATCAAAGAAAATATTAGGTGTACAACTTTGCTTCCGCCGTTTTTTTTCCGAAATTCGAGGCTTTATTGTAAAAAACTAATTATACATTTATGATTCAAAGTATTGTCCATCGCTGGCCACTACTTTCTCCCATATTTTGGTCAGCGTATGAATCTCGCGTTGAAAAAACTGATCATATTTTGAGGCGATCCACGAATCGATCCAATTTTTTACTTCTTCATAAGACTGGAAGTGTTGGTCAGCCAGGCCGTGTGCCATTGATCGAAACAAGTGATAGAGGGAGCAACGTCTGGACAATACAGCGGGTGGGGTAGGACTTCCCATTTCAACGTTTCCAAGTATGTCTTGACCACTTTCGCAACATGGGGTCGAGCATTGTCATGCTGCAAAATCACTTTATCGTGTCTCTCGTTGTATTGCGGCCGTTTGTCTTTCAATGCTCGGCTCAAACGCATCAATTGCGTTCGATACCGATCACCTATGATTGTTTCAGTCGGTTTTAACAGCTTAATACAATTTTCTTTCTTCCACCGCTATGCCGGTCTTCGACGTCAAAATCACTGTTCTTGAAGTGTTGAAATCACTCACGACACGTTCTTTCACTAATAGCGGCCTCACCATAAGTATCTGAGAGCATTCGATGAGCCTCAGCCGCAGATTTCTTCATATTAAAGAAAAAAATTAAAACCTCCCGCAAATGACGAGAATTTGGCTCGTAAACAGACATTTTCAATTGAGAATAACTTTATAATGGAGACACAAATCGACTAATGTTTCTATGGGGTTATGTTGACAGATGCCCAAGTATATTGTATGACATCTATGATCTATTTATTTCGACCACCACCTACCGCTAAAGCGATTTACAGAAAAACGGCGGAAGCAAAGTTGTACACCTAATAGTACTACGAAAATAAGGCCTGTATTTGACGCATCCACTTCTTGGAAAACTCCAACGTCACTGAATCATTATCTCGAAACAGGTCCTAATTTGATTGAACAAATTCCCAGAATTCTACTACGTTTTAGACAACGAAAGATAGGAATAACTGCAGATATTTGGAGTGCTTTTTGCAAATAAGTGTTTCACCTGACGATAGAGACGTATTGCGGTTTCTTTAGTGGAAGAAGACTCGTCCAGAAGAAATAGAAGTATACAGACATGAGCGAGTAATTTTTCGAGTCTCCAGCAGCTCTTTCTTCTTAGGAGCAATGATCGAATATCATTTAGACAGAGCACTACAACAAGGACAAACGGAGGCAGGAATAGAAGTCATTTAACAATTAAAGAAGTCTTTCTACGTAGATAATTGCGTAATCAGTGTTAATAAGCACAGCGAGACCGTAGCATTTAAAGTTACTGCAAGACAAATTATGGCAGAAAGCAAATTTGATTTGCGAGGCTGGGAATACACGGCTCAAGAAGAAACATATAAACATATAAATTGACTTTCGTACTCGGATTGCTTTGAGATAAAGAACAGGATACTTTAAGGTTGACACTTACATTGTGGAAATTTTACACTACGTCACAGATTACAAAGAGAAATACTATCTGCTGCTCAAAAAGTATTTGATCCCACTAGTTTGTCTCCTCCGATATCCTTAAAATCTAAGCTGTTGTTACAGAAGCTTTGATCATGCAAAATCAGTTAGGACGATGAAGTACCTGAAAATATTAGAGCTGATTTCGATAATTGATTGCAGCAGCTTCACTAGTTAAAGGAACTACATATTCCGCGACACGTTTTTCGTCAATGTAAATTGTCTTTTCATGTGTTCGTAGATGCTAGTTAAAATGCATATGCAGTTGCCGTTTTTGCGAGGACAGAAACTCGAGAGGACATATATATTATGACGTTGCCATCTTGTCGCGCGTCCATCCGCCCCGGCAACTTTGACGGGGCGCGGGCCGAGCGGCCGCGCCAGAAGCCAGATTGCGAGAACAATATCGAACTTCCCGGAGAGACGAGCGGTTTTATTGTATTTTGCGCCTTTATTAACTTTTTGTATTTTTTTGTATTAATGAAATGTCGGGCAACCCGCCGGAGAACATCCGGAAGGCGAAGGTAACGTCGAGGGATTTCATGAAACGGCCTGCGACACGGCGCTCCCCGCCGGCGAGCGGAGGAGGAAATAGCGCCCGAATAATCGAGCCCCGGGACGCCACGGGTAAACATCGCCCCTCGTCGTATAAAGGAGGACGAAGGCCCGATCGGCATTACCTTCCAGGAGTGGAAGACGTTAGATGGGCCTCCACCGGATCATGAAAACCGGGGCCTATGACAGCAGAATTTGAATATTCGAGACCGTTTCGCGCAGGGCGCAGGAATACCTCGCGTATCGCGAGGCGCAAGGATATCGCGCGTGTCGCGGCGCGATTTACGGCGGAACTGCGCATTGCTGCACGCAGCTATCGACCCTGGATCTTCCGATCCAGGGACTCACTCTGGTGCGGGCGCTCGACGCAATCAGTTGAAAAGTCGTAATAGTTGTCGCATTGTGCTGGTCGTTGTCGTTGGCGGAATCAAGGAGAGAACGGCTCCTCCCTGCTCGAGGACACATATCGGTGAGGTTGCCTATCTTTTGTAAGCCACGTACGCGATTCGGTCCGCCGACCGGCCGTTCTGTCGCCGTCCCCATTTCCGTGTTTTGCTGCCGCTCGGGCCTTGTGTCGAGCTGTCGATTTTTCGTGGATTTCTGGCGACCGGAGACAAGCGATCGAGGTATCGCGGGCAGTCGTAATATAGGCATTAATTGATAGGGTATCGTTCGTCTTTCTCCGGGTTTCGGGATGTTAAACACGCGTAGCTATCGACCGCCGAACATCGACCGCGTGCGCTAAAAATCGCGAAAAGCGTGTATGCCGCCCGTGTTGTCGTGTCGTTGTCGTTGCCGCGTGAAACATCCTCGCAGACGATCCATGGGCGATTTTCGTGTCTAATTGCATTTGTGTAATCGATTATTAAGTGCGTGTGAGCGTCTAGTATTATAAGTGTGAGAATATTATAAGTATTTGCGTCTTTGTCGCGCTCATTTTGTCAATGAGCAGCGCGTATTTTATAATCATTATCGTTTGTCGAATGTGTTGCGGTGCGAGATAATCGCCGAAAAATTCAACTATTATCGAAATTTGAGCTGGTTGCGCTGAGAAAAGAGGTGAAACGCAGGGAGAGAAAAATCTCCGGCCCCCGTCAGCTATCGAATATCGACCGTATCGCTCGCCGGTCGCAGACGGTACCCACTTTTCCCCTTGAGGGACACCTCACGATAGGAGCATCTACCGCTTGGCACCCTCCTCCCACGGGATCACCCGTATGTCAAGGACAGGGAGCAATCCTCCCCCTACGGTGCCTTGCCACCAGGCGATTGAAGTCAGGGCCGCCAACCCCTATGCGCATCAGGCCAGAGTGCCCGGAGGGAGCGCAACCCTCCTTCCCGTTTCCCGCCGGCCAGCGCCAACGAGAGACGAGGGAGTGCAATGGTGTGCTCTTAGACCCATCCTCCAACGAGAAGGGGAGTTTTCCCACCACGACAAGGTGGCGCACCGTCGAGAGAGATGCACGGACATACATACGAATACGTACATTCTCTCTCTCTCTCTCTCATTCGCTCACTTACCCGGTTTTTTTTACGAGAGGGGAAATTGCATTTTATGCATACTCACCGCTCGGTCAGGTGAGTTATGTGGGAATCGAGTACCAAGTCTAATTATCAACTCCGTACTCCCTACCCACTAAAAACCCCTCTCGTTTTATGAATTTCCTCTGGGACACTATCTGACTTCCCAAGATCTGTTTTGACACAACGCCAAAGAATAATTATTGTTATCTTGTTCGATGACTTCTGCTAATTATTGCTGTAGTTTCTTGAGAAATAAATATTCCGATAGATTGCACTTTCACTCAAATTTAACGTAGATATCACACGTTACAAAAGAGACATCCACACTAAATAATTAATCGAAAGTTTTTCTTTTTATAAACTGTACTCTTTTGTAAACTTCAACGTAATCACATTTATTCACTCACTCGATAAAACGAGAATTTACTAAACTATCACTATCTCTATCACTATCAATTACTGCCAAATAATCACCGTTAGCAATTAAAAATCCCTCGATGAAAGAAATACACGCGACGACGCAACAACGTGATAACGTGACGATATTTATTCGGCGGTAGCAAACAGCTGTAATTATGTTAGAATACAGTAGGTTAAGGTACTAACAGCGCTGACGAACGTAATCATGCGTTTGACTGAAGAACGCGACCAACATATAATATTAAACATTTAACGCGCGTATATTATTATTATGATACGATATACATATCATATGATATTTAAAATTAATTAAAATAAATAAATGTTTTTAAAATATTAAATATTTTACTACTAATATTAAATATTAATGTT